AAAAAGTGAAAAACTCAAAAAGTGAAAAAAGAATCAAAAAGTGACTGTCATTCATAAGGTTTGAAATAAAATAAAATGAAATAAAATTTGGTAAAAAATTAACGAAAAATCAAATGAATTCTATCCACGTCGATATACTTTTTGATTCAACTACATTAATAGTAACAAAAAATTAATGAATCGAAATTTTAAATGATAAACTTCATTCTTCAAAGGTTAAAGGTGAAAAAAGGCGAAAAAATTACCCTCATTGTAATTATTTGTTTCTTCTCGAATAGCACTTAAGAAATTCTTATTTGAAAATCCATAGATCAAACACATTGGAGTTTACAGTACTGATAGTAGTAGTGATAGTAACTGTTATTATTTGTTTTTTAAATTTAAATTTTAAACAATTTTTATTTTTTACAAATAAGTGGAAAAGTCATGAATAATTAATCGTAAATACACAAAAAGTGATAATTACTTAGAAAGAAAATGTCATTAAAAACGTAGGTGACACGAATGGTCAGTTCAATTAGTTGCAATTACACTGTAACATTTTCATTAAAATTCTTTTTTTTTTTTTCTCCTCTTCGACTTCAAAAGAAATGCAGTTACTAAAAAGGGAAAGGTTAAATGTTCGAAAGGTCAAATTTTTTTGTCTTTTTTCTTGTTAACTAAAAAATGGAATTAAAAAGTATTTTTATATAGTCTTAATGAGCAATTTTTCTGTTTTTTTTAAATTTTAAGAAATAACACAACAAACATGAAATTATATTGACATATCAAATTTTACAAAAATAAAAACGTAGATTTTAAGGATCCGGAAAAGTTATTATATTAATTAAAGATTGGATTTGGTTTTTCTATTTTCCGAAATTATTCTGGATTTTTTGATCAAACAATTGAATTAGTATTGTATTACTAGCAAGGAATTGGAAAAATGTAAAATTTCAAATGATTGTCCGTTAAACTGATGAATGACAGTGGAATAAATGACCATGACCAAGAAGAAATACATAGTACGGAGACGGATTGTGCTATGTAGCTGTGAACCATATAGATTCCAAATGACCACATCAATACTACCACGATTTGGTGGACATATTAAGTTCCAAATGACCACATTAATACTATCACTATCACTATCATTACTATTACTACTACTACTACTACAATCACTATGCTGTTACTACTAATTTGAAAGCATCGGAGATACACGTAACTAATTATCTTGATATATTTGCATGCAGCAATTCCCAGAAGGAATCATTTTATTGATAGTCTGCAAATATTTTTTAGAATTTTGAAAAAAAAAAAATTATAAAACCGAAACCTTTTTTATCTCACAACTTGATATATTTAGAATTAGTCTAATTAATTACAAGAAGATAATCAAACATTCCTGTAGGTAAGGAGTGTTAAAATTTACCTTGCAATAAGTTATGATGAAAGAAATAAATGAGGATAAAAGAATAACACCTATTTGATGCTTAATTAGTTTTAAACAAAAATCTAACAGCTTTAAGAATTTAATCGTTTTTGGGCAAAAGTGGGCAACGATTTTTGTTTAAATCTAATTGATAGATTTTTTAAACGATTGACTAATTAGTTAATGGAACAATTAATGAATAACTTAAAGCATATCAGAAATGCAATAAATCAAAAAGAATGCATTATAAATGTGTGTATGCATCATTTGAAATAATCCAATTAGTTACACTAATTAGATTATCTCAAATGCATATTTTGTCAATCCAATAGCAAATTGAATTATTATTTGAATTGTAGAACTGAAATATCCTATGACTAATTCTGCGGGAAAAATTTCGTTTCCGATTAATTTAGAATGATTAATTATGAAAGGCAAAAAATTAATTAAACTAAAAATTCATCACGAATGTATTTAATGAAAACAATTTCAACATAAACAAAATCAATTAAAATTATAAATTAAATTTGATCCAACATTAGCAGCTCATTTTGAATAAATTCCATTTAATTAAATCGTAAATAAGCTACAGTGAAGCTTATGCCATTTTGTCCTAATTTAATTTAATTCATTTCAATTCGAATCAATAATAGGTGCAAAAGTTATGAATTTCTAGCTATCAATAGAACATTTGATAAAGTACGACTTCAAATGCAAATATTTTCATTTAATAAATTTATTAAAATGAAATTTAAAAGAAAAAAGACAATAAATGCGACGAAAAGTCACCAAATACCATAAGATGACAGTATGTGACAACTAAAAAATGCAGAAATGCTTACAACTATTTCCACTCTTAGGTATTTCAAAAAAAGCAAACAACCAAGTAAATGAAGTTTACAATTCCAAAATGATTTTTTTTTTATTCTGCGCAAACAATTCGTTGAAGCAATTCTGAGAAAAAGGAAAAAAATACTGAAAGCAAATAATAAGAAATGAAAATCTGAATAAAATATTGAATAATTTACGATAGTGCAAATAATTATAAGAAATAATTACGTTAATTAGATATTAAGCGAATTTTATTCCTACTGTAACTTTAATAATTGCGATAGCTGAGTGCTAAGTGAATTTGCATTTATACTGTAACTTTTTTGTATCTAACTTGCTCTACAAAATTTAATTTTCTTTTTGTCATGTAGAAATTTTACATCATTATTTCACTTTTTTAATTGCTTTTCACTTAAATTTAACACTGTAGTCACTAAATTTTTATAAAAAGAAAAAAATGATGAAAATGATAAAATCTATCCAAAAATGGTAGAGGTAAAAGAAAAAAAAGATAAAAAGAAAAAGATTATATTACCTGATGGTATCGTATTTCGTGTACAGTAATAACAGCTTAGATCGATGATATATGGAGAAGAATTAGTTACTGTATACATTTGAAATATATCAGATAAATTAGAAAACAATAATGCTGGAATAAAAAAAAAAATTACTTAATTATTTCCAATCAATCTATTTGTCAATCTACATATACGCAAATTAAAACCGTTGTACGAATTGTAGAAATAATGATTTTCTAATTTTCTTATTGTTAAGATAAATGGCTATTGCAGAAATTTCATCAATTATTTCGTCTAAAAAAACAAAAAAAAAAAAATAATAAATTTCTTCAATAATTGAATAAATAATTATCTTACTACATTATTCATTACTTAAACGAAGTTTAATTAGCCAAGAGTGAATTTTGTAAAATGTTTGTCAGTATACAAATAAATGATTTTGCAATTTAATCAATACTTAATTTGTTTAAATTATCTTCAGCAACTAAGTATTTTCCTAACCGAATAAATTAATTCTAATTGAAAATTTTTTTGATTAAGTAAATTAATTCCTAGTTAAGTAAATTAATTTTAATTAATCAACGATGACTTTATTAAAATTAAACAGGAAAAAAAAACAAAGAATGAAAAGCGAAAAACGTTATAATGGCTAAGTTTTAAAACAAAAAGGAAAATTGAAATTGCTGAAAAAAATAAGCAAGAGAAAGTTTAATGTCAAAAATTTGTCACCACCAATATTCATCATAATTTAGGAGAAATATAAGATGACAATGAATACGTACAAACTATTTTGGTTAATGAAAACTTTCTGAATGATTCCTAATTATTTGTATTCGATGATTAAAAGAAAAAATTTATTCCAATGCTGTTATCACCACTTAT